AGCCACAATCCCAGCCCGACTTAAGATTTCTTTTACTTATCTTAGCAATGCTTTTTTTTTTTTTTAATTTTCATTATATAAGTCTTTCAAACCTTTTGTCAGATTTATTCCCTTTTCATATTTTTGAGAGCCCTGCAAATTATGAGAATTTCAATTTGTGTTTTGTTACTAATATTTAGAAAAATGCAATCAATATATGAGATACAAAATCCATCCATGGTGTATATTGATCCCGTGTCCTGGGATCTTATTAAAGTCTCCTGTTAGTCCTAATAGCTCATATGTAAATCCCATGGAATTTTCTATATATAGGATTTTCCATATAGCAATTATGTTTGTCTAAGAATAAAGACATATTTTTTTTCCTTTCAAACCCTGAATGATTTCTCTATCTCTTTCACTCCTTAATTGCACTCTAGCAAAATGTGTTTATATATAATTGTGTATGTAGTTATATACGTTTGTTTATATTACTATGTACACACATGCGTATATGAATCTATGTACATGTGCTCATTAGTAGAAAGTGTGCATGTGTGTGCATTATGTACAGGGGGAGTGGTGGTGCCTTCTCTCAATATTTATGGGGGATTGGTTCCAGGAGTGAGCTGAGAGAGACTTCCCATACTACCAGGTTTCAGTTCTTGTGACTAAAAGGCTCAGGGGTCACTCCAGTTGAACTGGGCTGACTGGGCTGGGCAAAATAAGCACACAAGAGCCACAAATACCTTTTTCTTTGGGGTCACTGTGACGGCTCCTCTGACCTTAAGGGTCTGCAGAAAGAGAGAGAGAGGGAGAGAGAGTGCGTCCTGACCCCTTTTATTGAGGAGAAGCTATTCAATTGAGGCAGGGGGTCAGGTTTCAGGGGGCTGAGTCTGTCTTCATGATGTCCACTGTCAGCAGGTTGACTGACACCTGGGTAGGCCACACCCAAGGGCACAGTAAGAGAAGGAGACACACACAAGGCACTTCCATGGAAGATTCTACCCTAAACAGGGCAAGGGGTTATATCACAAAGGAGCAGGTGAGCATAGCTTCACCCATGGGGCTGTAGCAAGACACACCCATGCAGGAGACACTGACCCTCGCACCCAAGAAGGGTGGGGAGAGCTC